CTCTCTATTTCTCTTCTCTCTCTTTTCTCTCTTCTCTCTTCTCTCTCTTTCTCTCTCTCTTTCTCTCTCTCTTCTCTCTCTGTCTCTCTCTCTGTCTCTCTCTCTGTCTGTCTCTCTCTGTCTCTCTCTCTCTCTCTCTCTCTCTCTCTCTCTCTCTCTCTCTCTCTCTCTCTCTCTCTCTCTTCTCTCTCTCTCTCTCTACTTTTATTTTCTGGTATGACAAGGGAGCTTGAAAGACAAAATACTATGTGAGCAAATAATTTGGTTTTGCAAACATCTGCCTTGTTAATTGTCCAGATTCTTAAACGTAATACAGCTTTAAGAATTGTCAGTTACTTTCCTAAATCAAGTGACTCATTTGAAATCTTGAATAATGGGAACAAAAAATTCTTTGTGATTTCTCGAAGAAAATAATATATTTTTTTTATGATACGTTTTCCCTTTTTCTCTCTTTAAATTTTCAGCTCCCGTGCAACACGAATGGTTTTGTATATTTTTGCGTAGAAAACGAAAGAAAATAACGTACCAGGAACGATAAAAAATATATTCCAAAAAGATGTAGAATGAGAGACAAAAGTGAGTATGATTTCTTCTATTTTCAGATCTTTTATGACCCACCATTCACTATTCATGCTCATTATCGGCCTCCCTCCTTCCCCCTCCTCTTACTCTCTCTCTCTGTCCCCTTTCTACCCTCCCCTTCCCTCTCCTTCCTCTTTCTTTGACCTTCCTTCCACCTTCCCTTTGCCTCTCATTGCTTACTCTATTTCGTTTTCCCTTCAACCCTGTCTCTCCACTCTTACTCTTTCTTTGCCTCCCTTCTTTCTCTTCAGCCCCTTCCCCCCTTTCCTTTCGTATTTTCTCTACCACCCTCCCCTCCACTTTTCTCGTTCTCCTTTTCGATCTCTCTCCTTTCCTTCCACCTCCTCTTTCGCCCTCTCTCCCTTCTCTTACTTCTCTATTGCCATCCGTTCGCCCTCCTCTTCTTACTCTTTCATCCGTTCCCTCCTCTTAATCTCTCTTTCGTCTTCACTCTCTTTCTTCTTTCTCTTTTTGTCGCCCTCCTTTCTCTTTCCTTTCTATTATATACTTCGGCCCACTTTTACCATTTCGTGTTTTTTTTTAATGTTTAAAATCAGGATAATAGTGCATTTACTCTGATTATCTGAAACGGGAAGATATTAAGGAATTCCAGAAAAAAATGGAAAAGAATGCAACAAATGCAAAAAAGCCCCCCCAAAAAAAAAAAAAAAAAAATAAATACGAAAAGATAGAAATAAAAAGGAAAACAAGAAATAAAGAACAAATTGGTCAAGACACCATATACTCATTCCAACGTCTCGCGGCGCATCAATAAAGACCAATTATCTTTCAATAAGTAATATATATATCTCCATAAAGGTATCAAAGGCACGTTCTTGGAGTCTACGAAGCAAAATGGATTGGGAGAAAAGATATTGTGATAGAGGAAAGAAACACAATTCGAGTCCAGTGACGAACAAAAAAATCATGGAAGGGGAGGGTTTCTTTGTCAGGAACGACAACACGGAATTCATTTACGGAATTTCCTCCGATTTCAAGCAGAATAGCAATTTTAAGACTCGTGAGAAAACCCTTTCATATGTATATCCTACAGGCTCATGCACCGGCAACAGAACTATCGTGTGAAGACAACTTCCCCCCATAAAAAAAATATAGAAATAATTCAAGTAGACTGGAATGAAAAAGGCATCACTCTTTCAGTAACTGGAGGGGACAGTCGGAAATGACAACATTTCCAACAAATGACAACAAAAAAACAAAACAAAAAAGGCAACAGCAAATGACAGGGGCCTTCATTTTCTTGAATTTGCAAACACGAACAACCTTGTACTCTCAGATACACTAGACAAGCATAAAAAGTCAAAGAAAGTTACTTGGCTCTCTTCCCTGATGGAAACATAACTACGCTGACATCAAGGTATCGAACGATTCCAATTTGGCATCAGTCAAGCAAAGACCAGTTGTGAGAGTAAACATGAAGCTAAAAACCTAAACACCAAAACATATAGGATGTGGATAGGTGGAAATGCGAAATCACAGCAAAGGTATTCCAAGCGCAGACTGGACGCAAATTTGCATCTTTAGAAGACATCCAGGACAAAGCGTACAGGATGGTGAAAGAGCTAAAAAGTTAGACAGCAGAGCACTAGAAACATCAAAGATATAGACAGAAACATTGAACTAAAAAAAAATAAATAAAAAATAGCAGGAAGACGAAAAAGGTATGCACAAGAAATCTATCAGGTGATCAATATGACCCCATTCTGTTACAAAGGCTGGAGACAGCAAAACACACTGACACATCCCTATCAAGAGGAGTGGACAAAATACAAGGAAAACTCATCATGAATGGAGACACCAGCATGATAAACATTCTGCACCAATTTTTCCAACCAAGTGCTGGCCACAGTAAATGGCCAATGCAATGGACCCAATCAGCTGTAATTCCAGAACCACCAAAAGAAAGAAGAAGAAGAAGAAGAAAAAGAAGAAAA